CATTTATGTTTTTAATCATATAAGGAAGATTCTTTTTTATTATTATGTTTGCCAAATGCTTTTCATTCGATCGTTATAAATATTTTCATAATAATTCTTCTAAGTTTTCTTCTTTGGTACCACGACTATAGATTAGATTGGCAACGAGGTCTCTATTTTTTTTACTGTCGAACTAACTAGATGTAACAATAAGTTATATTCTAATAATTTCTTTTCTCATCGAGGAAACCTTCTTCCGTTTTCATGGTCCCCTAACATCTACGAACTTCAAAAATGCAAATACAACGTCAATCGCCATGTCCTGTCATCCTTAAGCTTGTACCTTTATAGTATTTTTTTCTCGCTAATGTTTTCTGATTTTTTTTCAATCCCAGTATCCCTCTTAGGTCGCAGTGTCGATATCTCCTTGCTTTGAGTAAAATAATTAAAAAATTATATATTGTGTTGATGACAATAACAGCTTCCATGCAGGCATCACTCCACATTTATTAGGTTTGCTGCCGGTTCAAATTTCTAAACTCTTTTTTTCTTAAAACAGTATTTTCAGGAAAACAGGCTTCTCAAGTCTACTAGCTGCTATTTCTCTTTCTAGTATTGAGGGAGGGTTCCTTCCTAGCCTTTTGTTTGGGATAATGTGGAAAGTCAACATCTTGATAATATCATTCCTTTTTATTTCTAGTTATATGTGCTATTCATGTTACGTGTTGCAATTGTTGGAAATCTTCAGATCGATTCCTCATAGTAAATCTCAGTTTCAGGGCTTCAGCGATCTTCAGACCATGTGTCACTACTTTTTAGTGGTATATATATATATATATATATATATATATATATATATATATATATATCGGCCACTGGGTGATCAATAAAAGTGCAGAAATAAGGAAACCGGACCTTACTATTTCTTTTGTTTAAGCTTTCGGTTATTGATAATCATTACTTTGAGATTGATTATTTTATATATATATATATATATATATATATATATATATATATATATATATATATATATTAACTATTTTATTTTATATTTGTCAGTTATATATTTTTTTGTTCTATGTCGTTCCGTACTAAATAATATTTATTAGATTTAGATTGAGCGATCTAGTCTTTTTGTAATGATTCCTATGCCCACAACTTCTATATCTAAAAACCGTCTATCGCTGATATTGAGAACTCTTCGTCTATAAATATAGACATTTTCAAACAATATATATATATATATATATATATATATATATATATATATATATATATATATATATATATATATATATATATTTCTCTCTTTATTAAAATATATGTTTTCTCTCGTTGAACAATTATAATCTTTCCCCGATATATATATAATATGTAATAAATTGATTTAAAATATGGTTTTTTTCGCTATATAATCCGATGTTCTTATAGATATTTTTACTGTTCCTTCTTTTCATTTATATATATATATATATATATATATATATATATATATATATATATATATATATATACTTAAGAAAAACTAGGTAATCCGTAAGGGTAAACCTAAGGAGGATAAAATCCAGAGAGCTCTATGTAAATCCAGAGCAAATAATCTAAATAAAAACAGACCGCTTTCCAGACCAGGTTCGATGCAATAAATTATTTCGCAACAGCCCTTTTAAAAGGACTGCGGATCATCAGATTTTTCTTCCAAACAAAAAATGAAAAGAAAATTTACGCAATTTGAGGGGTCGTATTAAACATATGTAAATTAACGAAGTGAGGAAGTGAGTGGGGAGAGAGAAGACATGAGTGAGTTAGCATATATTGACACGTATATATATATATATATATATATATATATATATATATATATATATGAAATTAAACTTTATAAAAGTTTTTAGTGGATGCACTTTCTTATCTCTAATTTTTATTTGTTCTTTTACAATTTAAGACATCTGATACTATCAGTATATTTTTGGGAAGCTTCTGTAATCGGGGGTGCAATTGCAGTGAATTTACATAGAAAATTGCATCCCTTATAAAATTTTATTAAATTTAATAAAATATGTTGTTAATATTCGCTATCTGGAGTGGTTAATACGAAAAAAGAACATTGAAAAAATATTATTTCAGCTCACATACACGCATAGATAGATAGATAGATAGATAGATAGTTTAGAAAGATATATATGTGTGTGTAGATAGATAGATAGATAGCTTAGAAAGATATATATGTGTGTGTAGATAGATAGATAGATAGTTTAGAAAGATATATATGTGTGTGTAGATAGATAGATAGATAGATAGATAGATAGTTAGTTTAGAAAGATATATATGTGTGTGTAGATAGATAGATAGATAGATAGATAGTTTAGAAAGATATATATGTGTGTAGATAGATAGATATATAGATAGATAGATAGTTTAGAAAGATATATATGTGTGTGTAGATAGATAGTTAGTTTAGAAAGATATATATATGTGTAGATAGATAGATAGATAGATAGATAGATAGATAGTTTAGAAAGATATATATGTGTGTGTAGATAGATAGTTTAGAAAGATATATATGTGTAGATAGATAGATAATTTAGAAAGATATATATGTGTAGATAGATAGATAGATAGATAGATAGATAGATAGATAGATAGATGTAGGTGTGTGTGTGTGTGTGTGTGTGTGTGTGTGTGTGTGTGTGTGTGTGTGTGTGTGTGTGTGTGTGTGTGTGTGTGCAGAAAATAGTGTTTTAACCACGGGAAAGCCATCGAATTCTATAATTTATTCATCATCACATAATAATGATCTTCATTTTGAGTTCTTGTAGTTAACACCGAAAGCATTTATGCGATATTTTGTGGAAGTGTACATTTTTTAAAATTACATGCTGGGAATCTCATAATTCGATACTTGTCCTAACTCGAATATATACATAGATATATGGATAAATAAAAATATACATACATAAGGAGAGACTAATATAGATATGCAAGGTGTTATATGTTGGATATTTTATTTTGAGAGAATATTTTTATAAATTAAGTAAGGGAAAATATGATCTCAAATCAAAGAAGAAAGAAAGAAAAATGAATTATATGTAAATGAAAGAAAAGAAATTTATATCAAAGAAGGAAAGAAAATCATGAAATAAATATATATGAATAGAAAGAAAGAAGGAAAAGTAAAACTGGAAGAAATAAGGTAACTGAAAGAAAGACGCTGCAAGAAAAACAGAAAAAAAAAATAAATATATATATATATATATATATATATATATATATATATATATATATAAATGATATATATATTAACGATAATATATAAATTATAATATATATAAAGCAAAAGCAAAGATATTAATTCTATTAAGGACAATATATAGAAAGATAACGATAATATATATATACCTTTTTTATGTATCCTTCCTTCATTTATATATTTCATTATCTATTTCTTTCATTTATATATATATATGCATTATATATATATCTTTATATATTTTTTATATTTTTAAATATATATATATATATATATATATATATATATATATATATATATATATATATATATATATATATATATATATATATATATATGTACATAAATTTCAAATAGAGATAGAATCCACAAAAGAACTCAATGTCCAGGACAGAGTAACAATATAATATAAAATACTAATATTATATGGTTATAATTTATTACATTGAATCATAATCACGATCCAATTCATCAGACCTACAAATTCAAAAAGCTTTTGAATTTGTACGTCTGATGTCTTGGATCGTATATGTAAATATATTAAACACTAATATTATATATATATATATATATATATATATATATATATATATATATATATATATAGATCGTATAGATCGTATATTTATATATATATATATATATATATATATATATATATATATATATATATATATATATATATTGACCTCTAATATATATATATATATACCTATATATATATATATATATATATATATATATATATATATATATATATATTTATTTATATATAAATATATATATATTTGAAAAAACGAAAGAAATATAATCTATAAAATGAATGGAGCTCGAAGGAAAATATATATTCAGTAAACACAGAAAAAGGAAGGAAGAAAGAAAGAAAATGTGAAATATTCATATATGGTTGAAAAAGTAAAAGATGATATAAAGATGTAAAAGAAAGGAAGTATATAAAACAAAGGATGTAAATGAAGAAGGACAGATATATAAAAGAAAGAATGTTATATATATATATATATATATATATATATATATATATATATATATATATATAAATATGAAGGCAGGAACGTGAAAAGATAGATAGATAGATAGATAGATAGATAGATAGATAGATAGATAGATAGATAGATAGATAGGTGAAAAATATATAAAAAACAGAAGAAAAAATATATTAATGAAAGGAGGAAAGGAAAGGAAACGAATAAAGGAAAATATAAAAAGTCGATATATAAACGATAAAGAAATTTAATGATGGAATAATGACACAAAAGAAAAGTGAAATACATGAAAGAAAGATAGATAGATAGATAGATAGATAGATAGATAGATAGATAGATAGATAGATAGATAGATAAATAAAGTAAGTAAAAGATGAAATAAGTATATTAAAGAAAGAAAAATATATAAAAGAAAGGGAGAAAAAGAAGAAAGATATATTAAAGAATGAAAGAGAGAAAGAGTGAAAAGAAAAATGAAAGAACGAATGAAAGAATTGTAATTTTATCGGAATCGAATAAGAATTAAAACTGTGCAAAAAAAGATAAAATCGAGTCTCACATTTTCTTCACAAGATGTGCATAGCGTTTTCCCGGAAAACAACATGCAACAATTTTTATTTCCATCCCCTTAGGGAAGGGGAAATTTGGCTCGTAACGAATCCGCAGATGTTTCGTTATTTTGCGGAAGCATATTAGAAAAATACAGCCTCAGCCGCATAACTGGCATTAAAAGTGACAGCCACGAAGGAGAAAGACAGGAATATTAAACTATGAGCGGCCATTTTAAAAATGGTGATAGCGGAGGCTTGCTTTTATGTGTGCGTGCGTGTGTTTGCGTGAACTGTTTTGTTGTTTGCTTGTTTTTAAATATTCAAAAAATTAAATGAATCAATATTAAAACTCAGAAATATAGAAAAATAAAAATCCGCTGAAAACGTCTAACTTCAAACTTTTGCAATCAATGTATTACGTTTCATTTCCAGCAAATTCTTGCTCGGGATTTGAAAAAAAATACTCTTCTTTTCTCCTATTTCAGTTTATATATGGTGATTTTTCTGGTACTGTTATCGCCTTCTGTTGAAATGCTCTTCATCTCTCTCTCTCTCTCTCTCTCTCTCTCTCTCTCTCTCTTCATGCTTTTCGCCCTCTGTTCCTCGCTCTTTCACTTTCTCTCTCGATAGGTCTTTCCCTCCACATATCCAACTTCCATTATATCGATACTTTTTTCCCTATCCTACATTTTCACTCTCTTTCTCTCTCTCCCTCTTTCCCACTGTCTCTCTCTCTCTCTCTCTCTCTCTCTCTCTCTCTGTGCTTTTCCCTCACTACTTCCCTATTTCATTCTCTCTATATGTTTTTCTCTCTTAACCCCACTCTCTTTCTCTCTTCGTGCATTTCTCCCCCTACGCCACTCCCACTGTTTTCTTTCTATATTCTTTTTTCCCGCTTTTTCTTTATGTTTTTCTCCCCCTCTTCTGCCCTCAGTCCTTACTCTAATCTATCTTTTTCTCTTTTTCCATGCTTTACTCTCCCTTAACCTCACTATATCTATCTATATATATATACTTTTCTTTCTCATGCCACTCTCTCTGTCTCTCTGCTTTTTTCAGCCTATCACAATCTTTCACTTTCTTCGCTCTCTCTCTCTCTCCCTATGTTTTTCAGCTACCCCAATCTTTTTCTCTCCCTCTTACACATTCACACTCACTCACTCGCCCTCTCTCTTATTCTCCACTTTTCTCTCTCTACGCAATTTTCTCTTTCCCTGTTTATACATCTCCTTCCACCCGACTTTTTCTCTATGCTTTTCTTCTTTTACCCAACTCTCACGCTTTCTCCCTCTACCCCACTTGATCTAGTTACCTCTCTTTCTGTCTTTGCTTTTTCCTCTGCCCTAATCTTTCTCCCCTCTTCTACTCTCATACCCAAATCTCTTTTTCTCTCTTTCCATACTTCCTCTCTCTCCTACCCACCACTATCTCCATATATACGTTTTCCCATCCTACTCGCTATACTTTTCTCTACCCACCACAGTCTCTCTCTCTTCTCTCTCTCTCTCTCCATGCTTTTTCTCAGCTACCCAATCTGTCACTCTCCCTGTAATCTCTCTCTCTCTCTCTCTCTCTCTCTCTCTCTCTCTCTCTCTCTCTCTGCTTCATACGTTGTTTCGTTTTTTTTCTTACTATTAACTTTGGAGGAGAGTTCAACAACCACAAACTACCGTTTTCGAAATCTCGTACATAAAAACGTGCTAAACAAATAGATTCACAAAAAAACGACCTTGTGTAACACAATACACATACACATATAAAAAATATATACAAATTGAAACACACCCATAAGTACCGGTAGTCACACTTGCAAACACACACACACTCATTCAGACATAACCACATTTATGGGAGAATGTGATCTATAAATTTCTAGAGGCAATTGAATGACGAAGTGGGACAAGTCTATGTAACTCTTTAAAAGGAGTTCATCAGACTAACATAATGTTCTTATCGATGGAATTATATATATACTAGCTTAAAAGCTGCCCTATCGAGTGGCAATTAAGTTAGTTCCTGAAGAGAGCTCTGGATTGAGTCTTTGGCTTGTTCAAGAGTTTGAGAGTCCCTAAGTCTTTGCATATTCTCAGCATTGGAAGCTCTCCTGGCTGCCGTTTGTTCTGGCTTTTTATTTGCACAGTAATTTATTTTCCTCGCTGCAGTCTTGGCCCTTTTGATTGCAATCTGGTCCTCTGTTGGCAGAGATTTTTTTCGAAGTCATACTGCTGCCGTATGCAATAAGCAACAATAAACTACAGAAGAACTCAAAATTGATCGCTGCATTTAAGTATTGCATTAATATTTAAGCTTAAAAGTTCAACGAAAATTCTTCTGTACATACGTCCTTGCATTCCGTACAAAAACTTATTTTTATTTCATGGGTGACTTTTGCTGGATATTGCAATTAATTTAGATTATTTCCAAATTTATTTCCAAGTTATAAAAATTCTTATCGTACAAAAAATCACGTAAAAAATCGCTGAAAACAATCACAGTAATGAAAATTTGGGAATCCAAAATTTTAGGATTGCAAGTCCGGATTTTTAATTTACTCACGGAATCGGCCTGATTCCAGAATGAGATATCTTGGGCTACGGCCTCTAGGAGTAAAGTTGAAAAAGTGTGACACATTGACATTCGCATATATATATATATATATATATATATATATATATATATATATATATATATATATGTGTGTGTGTGGGTGTGTGTGTGTGTAGGGTTTGAGGGAGAAATCAGGCAAAGACATTTTTAACTCAAAATTTTTTAATTTAACATTCCCACATTTCCACCCGGTTCATAATTACAATCGACGTTTAAGTTCATTTCTAACTACATATATTAATACTTCCATTGATGTGAACATTATCTGATGAAGGCCTTTTAGAGAACGAAACGCGTTACACCAATCAGTGGCCTATATATATATATATATATATATATATATATATATATATATATATATGCAGGGTGCAATGGATAAATTTCGCCTAAATGACACAAAAATGAAAATAACATAAATATCTCATTTTAACAGATAAATTTACCAAAATTACACAAAAATACCTTGAAATACTAAAGAGTAAATTTATTCAATAAAATCGCCATTGCCTTCAACCACAACCTCCAGACGACTTTGGAATCTCCAGCACTTTCTCTGGACGGTTTCCTTTTTTAAGTTGGTGAATAATGTCATAATCCTTGTCTTCAGTTCCTCTTTAGTATTACAAAGAGTTTTTTTGGTTTTTCGTTCAATTGCAATTTGGGGAGTTAGATGGCCACTAGTAAAGGGTGATGTGGTCACAGGAATTGTCAGACAGCCATGATTGGGTTCCCCAGCTTGTGTGGCATGGTTACCAGACATAGGGTCCTCCAGCAGCCACCCTCTTGACCCAGAGCAGCACAACCTCCTCAAGGCATTTGATATAGGCCTCCGTGTTGAGTCTGAGACCATGTGGGAAGATGAACGAAGGTATAATGTTACCATCATACCATCAGACTCAGATGAATCCGAATCTTCTGCACTGTCCTCAGATTGACACCCAAACACTCGAAATGTTTGCATTGGATCTTCCAGCTCGAATCCCAAACAGTACAGCATGTTCCAAATTTCTGGCGGAGTTAATTGATTGCATCATGGTGCTCTTTTTCTTACGGACTGTACCCAACTGACCCTACTATACTGTGCAATATCACAGTAAAATAAAAAAAGAACAACGCGAAGGATTCAAAATTTAAAATGACACAATTTACCTACCGCACCCTATATATATATATATATATATATATATATATATATATTATTTATTTTTTAAAAATATGATTCTTTCGATACATAAGAGTTATCATGTTTTAAAACGAGAGCCAAAACCCTGAATATATTTATTAAAATTACATTGAATTAAAGTAAAGCCTTGTTTCATCATCAAGCGAAAATTTAGGAATAACCAATTTTGAAATTTACGTATCGTTATAAGCGTGTTAATTCGTTACAATGGAAACGGCTGGGGCGGCCATTTTTGAGGAGCCTAAAAGTTAATTTTTATCCACATATCAGTCACCTTCAGGGAGAGGTCAACATGAATGTAGGGTGGGTTGTCTATTTCAAAGCGAATGATGTCTTTCTTGAACGTGCATCGTCTGTTCATTCACAGAGAAAGATAGATTTTGGCACCATACATAGTATGTTGTTAAGTGTCTGGATAATTTTGTTTTATTTTATTTATTTATTTATTTTCAACGAGCTGCTTCATATATAAATGCGTCGCACTGAACTACAATTTGTTTTTTCGACGACTTCATGAAGGGTTTTCCCCTTTAATTATTGGGTTAAGCTTTTTTAGCCTTTATTAAACTATGAAATTTGATTTTTTTATTTATATATATATATATATATATATATATATATATATATATATTTATATATATATATATATATATATTTAAACCAGACAAACCTACCTAGGTTTCATCTAAACGGATCGTCAGGGAAAGTAAAGTCACTTTCCTGACGATCCGTTTAGGTGAAACCTAGGTAGGTTTGTCTGGCTCACTAGGTGTATCTAGGTCTGCTCTACGGTTGTATTGAGCGCTTTTGTTAGTTAGTTGTTCACTCGTATCGGGGTTTATTCTTTGGGCTTCAGACCTGCATCTGTGCGATTTTTTTGTCGGCAGAAGTTCATGTTGGTAGCTCTTTCTTTATTTAAAACCTTTTTTTCCCTCGAGATTGATTTGATTATTAGCAAATCATAAATTCGAGGGTTTTTCGAAACGAGTCTAGTTATCTATCTACCTATCTATCTATCTATATATATATATATATAATACATTATTATAGTTATTACTTAAACGTTATTTTTAGCGTATACCCATATTTTAAACGCTTCGTTTATTTATTAAAAGATTATATTTATTTATTGGATATTCAAGAAATCTTATTAAAGAATACTGAATACTGTCTATTGATAGATAGATAGATGTGCCAAAAAGTAATTAAATTTGTTTGTTATAGAAATCAAAAATATCGTGCATCAAGTAATAGCAATACATCACAGATTCACATCTCTACGTTTCAACATGGCACCATCTCTTTCAATGACAGTGTTCCACCGATGAATGAGGGTATATATCCCAGCTTAGTTAAACTAAGCCGTTTTTAGTTCTTCATCAGTAGATTTATTTCATTACCACCATAACGTTGGCCCGTCAGTGCCTCTTTCATTGAAGAAAAAACATGAATGTTTAGAGCGATGAATACATGAAAATTGCTGTAATGAATTGGTTACCTCAGCAGGCAGCTGAGTTTTACCATCACCCTCTAAGATACTCATATATATATATATATATATATAGATAGATAGATAGATAGATAGATAGATAGATAGATAGAATTCAAACATTATATACACGCGTTTGAGTTTGTTTTTGCTACATTAATTTTCGCGCTAATACCCGTGAGGAAGGGGTGAATTCATCTCTTCTCCTCCACCATTGCCAGCTATGAATTAAATAGTAGGGTAGACTCGACTCTTTAAATTTGGTAGACAGCCAAACACTTTTGAATTGAAACTATTACCAGTCATTTTGAACATACTTGTCCCGAGATTCAATTAATGCTATTTGATGTTTAATCCCCCAGTTACCTATATATAACGCAGAAAAAGAAATATGCATGCGTGTGTGTGTTTGTGTACACTGAGGAGGACAACACTGAGTAGTGACAGAACACAATCTTTAAGCAATTCCCACACACACACATACACACACACACATAGATATATAATAATATATATATATATATATATATATTCCACTCTCCCGTCGATTCGACGTATGAGGGTCAAGCAGCTCAGTTCCAAGGAACAAAGAGTCCGACACCAGCACACGTGATTTAATTATAGTGGTGAAATCTTTGTGCAGAACCAACTAGTAATGTGTGTATATATATGTATGTGTGTGTGTGTGTGTGTGTGTGTGTGTGTGTGTGTGTGTGTGTGTGAAAGTGTATATAAATATAAATAAATATATATATGTATAATTATTTATATATTATATGCGCGGTACTTATTAGAAAGCCCTCAATATCAGAGATAGAGCTAACATATCCAACCAAATATATATGTAAATGACCTTCCTCTTTATACTTTGCTGTTTGGTTCTGTGCAGGACGAAGTTCATTTTAGTGTTTGTGCGCATGATAGATAGAGATTATGCGTGGGTGTTTTCGGGAGAGATTATATGTTTACGTTTTTTAGATGTACCTACAACTTTTTCTTTTTCTCTGTCTTTCTCTCTCTCTCTCTCTCTCACTATCTCTCTATTTATATATCTACCTCTCTATCTATGTCATGCATTAACTCTCACCACCATCTGCTTATCACTTTTACCCTTTTTCTTTTTTATTCAATCAATTTTTTCCTTCTTTTTTGCACGCTCAAGATGAAGATTTTCACTCGCAGCTGTTTTTTTTCTCGTCATCATTGATTATTGATTTATTCATCATATAAAATGAAATTTTACATTATGCAAAAGATCAGGTGGCATTGGTCGAATGAATGATCGATAGGTAGGATCGATTTTCAAAATCATTTTATGATTATCCTTTAAGCATATGCACATATTAATTAATGATAATTTCCGACTCCCTAAAAAACGCAAAAGTAAATATTTATCATGGCAAACACATGAGTAGATCAATTAATCTTTTTATAACACTTCTCTCTTTCTCTCTCTCTCTGTCTTTCTCTTTCTCTCTCTCTCTCTCTCTCTCCTTTCTCTCTGTCTCACCACACACACACACACACACACACACACACACATATATATATATATATATATATATATATATATATATATATATATATATATATAGGAGGTGTTGTTCGTGCGTTTTATTTGAAAAAATGTAGATATTGATTCTGAAACCAAAATACTGAAATATTTCAAAAACAATTATTTTTTTCAATATAATCATCCTTTCTTGACAGTTAACCCATTGATTTTCTATTAGCCATACAGACAGAGCATTATACAGAGAAAATGTTAGATCAAAATGTCAACTAATAATTGTGTCAGACTACGAGAACACTTAATAAAGAAAATTTACATTCAGGAAGAATTCAAACATGCCACCCACACACCCCAATTTTGCAGGAGTAAAAGAAACGAAGCGTCTACTGAAATAATTACTTGCTTGAATATAAAACTCTCTGTTGCCGAGTTGTCAAAGCACGTCGGATCAATGTTAGATAGATAGATAGATAGACAGACAGACAGATATAGACATATATAGATAGATAGATATGAGTCAATACACAGCTTAAACGCAATCGTCAGTCTATATCCCATTTTTATATTTATATACGCTCTATTTCTAATATTCAGCACTTTAACCCATAAATATATCATACTCTAACAATATAATATATATATATGTGTGTGTGTGTGTGTGTGTGTGTGTGTGTACTACAATTCAAATATTTGAAGCCATCCCTATAATTAGCATGGGATGATTTTGACAGAAGAATTGGAAAAAATGAATATGAGCTGTTAGAGTAATTTAAAAAAAAAGAATCGAATCAATTATCAAACTTATAGTTTGAGAAACCTTTGCAACGAATGACAAAAATGTCTGCTGCAGTAATCAAGGCTAAAGGAGGATAAAAATAATGATGAGAGTAAAATTTAATCATAAAATGCTTTTTACCTTTTTTTCATAAGAAACTTTTCTAATAAAAAATCAGGTCTCACAATATATATATATATATATATATATATATATATATATATATATATAATTTTCAGTTGAGCTCTCTGGGGACGAGGTGTGGGTTGGTAAACAGTGACTATTATAGCTATATAGCGAGACTCTTCGCAGATTCGAATTGAGTCACTGTCGGTCACTGGGCGTGTATCTAAAAATAAATACGTAAAAAAATCCATTATCATCCCTACCGTGCGCCGATGGCTTAATGGTTAGAATCTCCGACTGACACCAATTCAGTCGGGTTTTGATCCTAGCTAGAGGCAACCAAATGTCTAGCCACACTGATGAGCTGCGAAACAGTCTCTCTGTGGATGACGTTATATATAATATTAGGCAATGTGCGTATGTAAATATAAAAGTGGACACTGACATCACCACTGAATGGTAACAGTCTGTGCATGCTTGGACGCAATCATCATGTCTTGTTGACCTCCTCAGTGTCCACTTTTATATTTATATATCTACTCTGATATATATATATATTACTTAAATACTGTAAGCTTTCTATTTTAATCACTGATTGACCTATATATAAGGTTTTTGGAATATATATATATATATATATATATATATATATATATATATATATATATATATATATATAAAAACACCGAGCGGCTACAGTCATTTTGATGTCTCGCATTTCAAATACTGATTTGAGGATGTGGGTCGGAGAAGAAACATTCAACGCCCCTTCATATAGATAGATAACGTTTTTAATATATTGTAAAAAGAAAATATTCTCTTTTACATAACACGATCATTCCTTAACAAGGATGAGCCTTCGCTATGCCCATGGAATGTACTATGCCTATACAAATAACGCTCTTTCCTGTTGTCTCGTTCCTAAATTGCATCTACTTATTCTAACATCGGTGATTGCGTGAGATTTTCTTTCCCACAATGCATCAGTGTCATAATAGAAACCCATTGTAATTATAAGTTGCATGTTCAGTTTGTCTCTCGTCTGATGAAGACAACAGATCAACTCAGAAAGCCAGGGAAAAACGTATCGGATTTACTCAACTGACCACTCGCCATACACACATTGATATGTCAATATATACGTCCTGATATACGATATAGGTAGTTGCATGTGATACATATTTGAATGTTTGACGGTGTTTGGATATTTGTCTTTCTGAGACTGACAAACCGAAAAAAAAAGATATGCAAGGAAAAAGAAAAATAAGCCACGTGGCTGAGATAGTTATCTATTTCTCATTAATGAAAGATGCCCATGTTCGAGTCAAGAATATTGAATATGAATTTTGAAAGCAAACAAATTAGGCGTTTTATGCAACACAGACTTCACACTTCTTTTCCAGAACATGGCAACCTTCTTCGTTTATATTCTATCTTTTCCTGGCCTGTTCGATCATGGCTCTCTACAACCTTCTATCCTTTGTAGCACTTAACAATGTCTATTTATTCACCATCCTTTCAAATTCCCGATCTGACATCCATTTACACAAGCTTATTAGGTAAGTTGTTCTTTGTCGCCCGCTATCCCTCTTGATTTCAGTATATCATGTGCGTGTCAAATTCACCAAGACCTCTTTCCTCATTATGTTTTCCAAATATTTAAACTGCTTTTTTTTTCTGATTATTAGTCCTTCTGTTTCAGTTTTCCTTAAAACCTCCCCGTTGATCACATGTTCCTTCCATGGAATTGTCATCATTCTTCTGCATAATCTAGTCCTGGGTATGACGATAAACTACATCCGACAGCAAGGCTTCTCATCGGGAGACTGTGAGATTTTGAGGAGTGTGGAACCACCTCTTAGCACCTATGAATCCCACCAAACAAAACCAAAATGCTATGAAAAATTAAAAAACATTTTATAGTAAAATTACTAGCAATACATTTTATATGAAAAAATTACCAAGAATACATTTTTAAAGCACCATGACCCGCAATAATTTTTATAATTACCAGCAACACATTTTATAGCAAAATGACCAACAATACATTTTATAGCTAAATGACCAACAATACATTTTATCTGTAGTAGAAGGCATACAACTGCGTTCAAAATATATTAAACTGAAGCCATAAAACTGGGTTCAAAATATTTAGATTTAGGCATTAAATAATAGAGATGTCGACATGCCGTTAAACAAACCATAACAAAGCAAATCTGTATAAACATATCTCTGTTGCCGAAAATCTCGTCTTTATCTGTGAGGAAATTGCCCTATAGGAAGATTGATATTACACAGAGTTGAGCACTCTTTTCGTTGTTTCTAACATAAATTTTTTGTTTCTTCATATTTTCCTTAGCTTTTAGGAGGCATATTTCGCTATTATTAAACGAATCAGAGTAAACATTAGTTAAACCGAATACAAACGACAAAAGTGACAGTGCTAAACGACTGGGAAAGGCGTTAACGATATAGTGTGGAACTCCCTTCCGTTTCCTTGCTTCCTAGATAACTACAATCTTCAAAAATTTAAATGCAACGTCAATCACCATCTTCTATCTTTCTGAATCCCGTTCATCTTTTGTCTTTTCCTCAATTCTCCCGATTTTCAATCTTCTCTTTCACTTTCACTCCCTGCAACTCTTGCCTACTAGTCGCTTTATCGCTTTGCTTGGGGTGAAATGATTAAAAAAAAACACATCGGGTGATCATCGATAAAAATTGAGAAAAAGTGCCGTATTTGACTGCATATAAGGCGCACCTTTTTTTTTTAATAAAAACATCTTTTAAAATTCCCCTTCGTATTATATGACATATGTAGGTTTAAAATTCGCGATAGTTCGCCGAAATTAGCTACCTGGCAACTCCTATTAGCTTAGACTTTAGAGTAACTTTCGTATACCTATTGTTATTATTTAAAAGGCTATTATGCAGATTAAAAGTGTTATCATCGATAATATTCATTATATTAATTTCATCACGATTAATATTAGTACCTTGTTTTACTAAAATTATACGCAATAAATTCAAAATATATATTTGTAAAATATATTTGTTTCATTAATATTTTTCTTACGATAACTTCCGGTTTCATTGGTATAAATACAATCAGAATATTTTATATCCTAATTATTCCACTAAGACGTTTACAATACGTAGGTTGTACAGATCATATGAAGGAAAATTTTTGACTGAATTTCACTCCTTCGGATATGATAACAGCAAGAAAGAGGTTAAGCTACACTGTTGCGCAAAAGCTTCATGTAATACACTATGCTAAAGAGCATGGAAATAGAGCAGCTGCCAAATATTATTGGCCCTCCACCTACAGAAAAAAAATGATATGTTACTGATGGTTGCAGGAAAATAACCTACTGGCAGCGAAGAAAGGAAACTGTAATCTTCACCACACAGCCCCACATTGGCCTGAAATTAAAGAGGAAATTAAAACATCGGTTGAGAATGAAAGGAGTACAGGCAGAATCCTTACTACGAAAATGATAAGGAACAAGGCTAGAAGAATAGCGACCGAAAAGGAGATTCAAAATTTTATAGGAACAGAAGGATGTTACCGTTTTAAGAAACGGGAAGTTTTGTCAATGCGTACAAAAACATCAATTGCACAGCGAATGTTAACTGACTATGATGATGAAATAGTAAAGTTTTATAAATTTGTTATACATACTCGAAAAAGAACTCTTTTTGAACTAAGCCAGTTAGGAAATATGGATGAAGTCCCACCAATGTTTGATGTTCCATCAAACAAAACTGTAAGCATTAAGGGATCGAAGAC